CGATTGCTGAAAACCGCAGGTCTCTAACTTGTTCCTATCGAAAGTTATTCAAAAAACATCCGACTGCCCTGACTTCTGGCGCCGATATTAATTACATTACTGAAGTCATTTGATAATTATTTCTTGAGGGAATGGCTCAAATTACTCTATCATTATTACTTACATTTCTCATGCGTTTTTTTGAACCATGTTCTTCAATGCCTACTTGGCATGCTTGGCTTTTGGCTATAGCGACAATTGTAATTCCATTATTTGCAAGTCTTACTATTCATCGGGTATATTAATATTAATTAAGCACATTTGTATGCAATTTTACTTTCATAGTATTTTTATCAAAGTGATATGTATGCTCTACAAATTTCTGTGGCTTATGCCGGTTTAGTTTATCGTAAAGTAAATGACAAATAATTGATGAAATGAAATTGAAAAACTTTATTTTCAAGGTACTACGTTTGTCGAGTCATTCAATGAACACTATCACTTCTGGAGAAATTACTAATTTATTATCTGATGATACTAACAAAGTTCAATTAGTGCTTTTCTTTGTCAATTATTTGTGGGTAAGTTTGTTTTTTTTTTCCAAAGTTCTTTGTTGAAATATTGAAATGAAATATTCGACAAACAAATAAAAACTTAACTTCACAATAGAAACAGCTTTCACTTGATAAGGACTAGACTCTAACTGTATCTTTTAATACTGTTAAAACTAATCTATGTTGCACGTTTGTTCGCACTGTCATCGATATACTGCAGTATTCAAAAGTATCGACGATTTTTGTTTAGATTGAACTGCATGGAAACAGATACAAAAGAAATATTTCAAAGCCCATAAGAGCATTTAACATGATAACTTTGTTGAGAGAAATATGATCAGGCAGTTCCTATGAATAGTTTTAGTTAGTTGATAATAAAAGAAAACTGAAGTTAATGGTGAGAAGTTACTCTTACTAGTTAAGCAATAATGAGGTAGTTGAAATAAGTCAAAAGATAGGTTTGAAAAATTACAGACATCTTCGAAAAATATTAATAGCTATTTCAAAATACCTAAATCGGAATCTGAGCATATTTTCGAATGACTCTTTTATAGCTCAGATATCTCCAGAAACATTTGATCCATTGTGTACATATTTGACACTATGCAAATCGGTGAAATAAAATTTGAAAAACCAAACATTGAACTTGAATTTACGTTTAGTGCATGTATAATTCTGAGATTATCAATAATATAGTATTTAATGATATTGTTTAAGAGTCTGACAAATTTTTAAAATTCTATTTATTTTAGATTGCTCCATTGTTAACCATTTTCATTACTATAGTATTCTGGCATTTTGTTAAATATATTGCTTTTATTGCTATGGGATTTTCTGTTTCTTTTCTTCTTATTCAATCATTATACAGTCGTATTTTTATTCGATTACGGTTTATTATTTTTTTTTGTCTTTATGATTTCTTTTTTCTAATGATCATAGTTTCTTTTTAGTACAAAAATTCTTCGAATAACTGATGAACGTATAAAAATAATATCTGAAATAATTAAATCAATGCGTATTGTAAAAATGTATTGTTGGGAAACAGCATTTAGTAAAAGAATTTATCTTATTAGAAAGTAAGTTCAATTTAAATATTTGATTTTTTTTTTAATTTATGAGACAATTTTAAAATTTGAATATATTTAGACATGAAATACTTCAATATACTTTATATGCTCTATATGAATGTATTCAAATGGTATTTTCAAATAATTTTATTCCTATATCTTTACTGCTTATGTTTGGAACAATGTGGTTATTTAATATACGATTTGATACAAATTTCTTTGCTATTGCTGCTTGTATATTGAGTTTTATGAGACTATATGTTATTGAATATTTTTCTCTTGGTACTCAATTTATTTCGAATTATTTAGCTGCACGAAAAAGAATTGAAGTTTGTATAAATAATATTTTGTTAATTTCTAAAAAGTATTTCTTTAATATAGTCATTTCTATTACTTGATGAATGTGATCGAGATAATCGATTGTTATCATCATCATTATCACAAGATTTGGAAATGTTATCATCAAATGAGATGAAAATGGTTAATGATAATATTGAAAAAAATATACAAGTGATATGTAATTTGAAACAAGCTCAATGGGAAAAAGTAATTATTTCTAAAGAAATATATTTTAATGTATCTTATTATAGAATGGATTATTTGCATTAAAAAATATTATTTTTGATGCTCATCCAAGTGATTTAATATGTATTATTGGACCTGTTGGATCAGGCAAAGTTTGTTCTTTTATTTAATTATTATGAATATATCATTTGAATAGAATTATTTCAGAGTTCACTTTTACAAACCTTAACTGGTGAAATAGCTTATTTTGATGGAAAAATTCGATTACATGGATCATATTGTTATGTACCACAAGAAGCATGTAAGAAATAGAAATAATTTGAAATAGAATAGTTCATAGATTTGCTTTGTTTTATTAGGGATATTTTCATCAACAGTAAAAAATAATGTTCTGTTTGGAAAAGAATACAATCAAAATTTATTTCAATCTGTTGTAAATGTTACTGCACTTGATACTGTAGGTTAATTTAGAATTTCGTATAACTATGTCACAAACTAATGTAATATTAATTAATCAAGATAAATGTGATCAGTCAGCAGGTTACATGACTTTTAGATCCTAAGTTGATCTATTCAATTGTGCTTAGCGGCAGATATTATCAATAAAATATAGTGTTCAGTAAGACGATATAGTGTTCAAGGGATGTCTATCGGAGTCAATTTTATCTAATCAATGTTTCTTCATAAATTTTTCGATACTATATTGTTGAATAGAGCTTAAGTTTGATCTAAAGGCGTGTTGTTGATAAGTATTTTTAATGAAAATGAATACTGCGAAGTATTATGTTATTCTGGGAGGACACTAAGTTTTAATGAACATTCATATCGCTAAACACAATGAAGTGTATCAAATACTCATATAAATAAGGCTTTGTTTATGAGAATTAATGAAAGAAATTTCTAACCAAGCTGAAATTCTGATCTCATAATTTGAATGTCAGCTGTTCTTTAATAAGTTGAGCAGCAAACCTTTTCATTTATAGTTAAATAGGCTATTAGAAAAGTTTTCTTTTCATTTAGTGCGATTAAGCTGATGTACTAGTCTACGTTTCTAGAATTAATTTCGAACTATCATATTTCTATTTACAATTAATGCTAGAAGTTTTAGTTTAACGATTCATAACTACGTAATAATAGTTATCTTACATAATTACCGATTCATTCTGTCAAAATTTGATTCTCAAAATATCCTAGAAAATTGTTTTTTAAATATAGATCTCATTTATTCATCTCCTATGTTGTGAAAAACTACTATCAATTATGTATATCTTAGCAATGAAAATTTATCAATCAAATATTTATTTCAAAATTTCACTTGATCTTTAATTGTCAGTGTGTGTAACAAAATTTCCTGTTAAACTTATAATTATCAGCTCATCTTTTCTCGAAAAGAAGAGGAATCTTATGACTAAAAATTGAAAAACTAAATTTCATTTCCTCAAATAAGTTCATCAACTAGAGGACACTTTAAACTAAGTATTGATCGAAAAAAAAATCTAAATTTTTCGAGTAAAAAACCTAGATTCGAAGTTATTCTTCAATTAGTCACAGATTGTATTCTGACATATGTTATGACAATTTATGTATAGGATTTTGAACAGTTATCTAATGGTGCCAATACTCTTGTGGGTGATCACGGTGTGATGTTATCTGGAGTAAGAACTATGGATGAGATTATTCAAAATAAATAAATGATTTGTATTATTTAGGGTCAAAAAGCACGAGTGAATATGGCACGAGCTTTGTATCGTAATGCTGATATTTATCTATTAGATGATCCTCTTTCTGCTGTTGATGTTAAAGTTTCCAAACATCTTTTTGAAAAGTAAAAACAACAAAAAAAAGAAAATAATTTAATATAGTTTTTTGTACTAGAGCAATTAAAAGTTATCTTCATGATAAAATTTGTATCTTAGTCACTCATCAAATACAATTTTTACAAGATGCAACAAAAATAATTGTTCTTAATAATGTAAATAATTTTATTTTATTAATGAAGTAAATTATTAATTTTTGTATATTTTCAAGGGTGAAATGGTTCAAATGGGTACATATAATGAATTAATAACTTCTTCAACTTCATTCGCTCATTTATTGGAAGATATTCATCAGCAAAAACATGAATTTTCAAGTGATATTGAACAACAACAATCAATCATTAGTACAGTATGTTTAGAAGAAGACAATGAAGAAGATTTAATGACAAATACTGATACAAAACAAGAAGGATCTATCAGATGGAATGTTTATCGATCATATATAAGAGCTGGTGTTGGCTGTATTTTTGGTTTTTTCTTTATTTTACTTATTTTAATTGCAAATCAAGCTATATTCTTATGTAGTAGTTGGTGGTTAGCAGTATGGACTGATGCTGAAACTCATCGATATAAAACTTTTGATAATTGTACATCAATTAGTGCTAAAAAAGTAAATAATATACATTCGATGACTGAAAATGAATGGAATATATATCGTAATCGAAAATTTTATATCTATTGTGGTAAGTTTAATTATAAAAAAAAAATTAGCATAAGTGAAGATGAATAATAATTAGGTATTATACTATTATTATTATTATTAACATTTTTACGTGCATTTACATTGAAATTAATGTGTTTAAATGCTGGACGAGTACTTCATAATAAGTAAATTTTTTTTTTCAAGTTTTTTCTTTTTTCTATTAAAATATTGTTTATATGAATTATAGAATGTTTCAACGAGTCATTCGTTGTCCGATTTCATTTTTTGATATGAATCCAGTTGGTATGTTTTAGTTCGTTAATGAAACTTTATACAAATAGATTTGTCATTTTCTCTGAATTAGGTCGAATTATAAATCGTTTTACTCGAGATATTGCTGTAATAGATAATAATCTATTATTTAGTTTTCCAAATTTTTTAGAAGTAAGTTAATATTTTCTTAGAATTTCCATTAGTATGATGATTTGTTTAGTATGTGGCTATCGTTCTAGGAGTAATTGTCTTAATTGGATTAATTAATCCTTGGTCATTTATTTCAGCTATAATAGGAATAATTGGAATGTTAATAGTACGTTATCGTTTTGCTCGATGTTTTCGTGATTTAAAACGAATTGAAGGTATAACACGAAGTCCTGTTTATTCATGTTTATCATCAACTATTCATGGATTAAAAGTTATTCGATCTTATTATGCTGAGAAAATGTGTTCGAAAGAATTTCTTTCTTATGTTGATGATAATAGTCGAGCTAATTTTTTGATTGTAACAACTGAAAGATGGGCAGCTATACGTTTTGAATGGATAACATTAACGTTTCTTAGTCTTGTTACATCATTTGCTATACTTGTACGTCTTTATCAACAAGATTTTTCAACAGCTGATATTGCACTTACATTTTTTTATAGTCTTAGTTTACTAGGACTTCTTCAATGGACAATTAGGTTTGATAAATAAATATAAATTTGAATTCTATTTCATTATATTTTAATGGTTTTCAATATTTAGACAATCAGTAAGAGTTGAAACGGAAATGACAGCTGTTGAACGAATATTAGAATATTGTTCACTTGAACAAGAACCGTCAGTTCAAATTTTAAATAAACATCGACCACCAAATAATTGGCCATTAGAAGGTCAAATTGTATTTAAAAATGTTTCTATGAAATATTTAAGAGATGAATCTTCACCACTTGCTTTACGTAATATAACATTAACAATTGAAGGTGGTGAAAAAATAGGTATTGTTGGAAGAACTGGTGCAGGAAAAAGTTCATTTATTCAAACACTTTTTCGTATGGGAATACTTGTTAATGGTCAAATTGAAATTGATCATATTGATATAACAACAATTGAATTAGATGATCTTCGAAGTCGTATATCAATTATTCCACAAGATCCAATTCTTTTTACAGGTACAATTAGATATAATCTTGATCAATTTAATAATATTTCTGATGATCAAATATGGAATGCATTAGAAGAAGTTTGTTGAAAATTTTTTTAATTGAATATTTAATTCGGAAATTAAATTTAATTTAGGTACAATTAAAAACTTTAGTTAATGATTTAATGTTAGATGGACTTGATTCATTAATTAGTGAAAATGGTTCGAATTTAAGTATTGGTCAAAAACAATTAGTATGTTTAGCAAGAGCAATATTAAAAAAAAGTAAAATTCTTGTTATTGATGAAGCAACAGCAAATGTTGATAATGCGTAAGTAAACAAAAACAAAAAAAGAAACGTTCGATATTATTTATAAATCAATTTTTAATATGATTTAGTACTGATGTATTAATACAACAAGTTATTCGAAATAAATTCAAAGGATGTACAGTATTAACAATAGCTCATCGTTTAAGGACTGTAATTGATAATGATCGAATTATGGTAAATTAAAAATTCATGTTTTACTTTTCTTTTTTTTTTTTTTTGTTTGAAATTATATTTTTATTTTATTATTGAAGGTATTAAATAATGGAGAATTAGTTGAATTTGATACACCATCGGCTTTACTATCAAATCCAAATTCATATTTTGTTTCATTAGTAGACCAAACTGGTTCAGCTGAAGCTAAATATCTTCGAACATTAGTAAATCGTAAGAATAAAAAAATAAAATTGATAAGACAACAAGCATTTGATAATGATGATGATGATGATGAATTAACATCAACAATAAATGAAAACGATCCTCTCTTAGTATAAAATGATTTATTCAAACAAAAAATTAATGTATACTTAATTATTTAATAGATCTTCATTTAAAATATATGTATAAATTAATTTTAATTATTCTTCTTGAAATAGATGTATTATGATTGATTAAAAATAAAGCTAAGTTATATTCCTAGTGCAGTTTTTCAATATGTTTTATATCTTGAATAGCAACATTTAATTTCATAAAAAACCAATAATATATAGAAAAAATATTGGTCGTTAATTTTTCTTTCAGAAATCAATGAAATAAGTATAATACATAAAATAGTCATTAACATTACGTTTATATTATTGGGTATCATCAAATAATTATACAAATGATCCTATTATGTAAACAAAATATTAGAGTTAAGGATGATATATTGATTTGCTGCAATTTTCATATGGTCAACGTAAAAAAAGAAAGAACTGGTCAGATTATAAGTTTAGTAAATAATCAATATCAACGTTGTTGAGCTCATTGGAATACATACTAGTGCGTTAAGGCCAACTTTAGATATAATATGTATAACAGGCTTAGTTTCTACTTAAATCAATAATTAGAATAATCATAATGTTAAATTAAAAAAAAACTGAAATCCAAAAAAGAAAAATAATGAATGAATAGCAATCAAGCAAACATAAAATACAGTTCACATAAACAATGAAAATTTTTTCTGTTTAAACTATGGAAGTCAATAAGACAGATTGATTATCTTGAAGAAAATCTTAAGCTTGTGAGAGAGCTTTTACTTAAGGCACTTTGTATTGGTGTAATGCGGTTAAAGAACACATGTGAATTCCATTATTTCAACTCCAAAATCATTGCACATTGAAACAATTTGATTGAGCAGTAAAGCTGAATGAAAAAGAAACAAAAATAATTGTCTGATTTGCTAAACACATAACGAAAATGATACATTGTGTTTGATGTAGGCTATTGACAAGATATATTATGTTCATGCGTATTTCAACATTTGTCCTGAATAAATTTAGCTTTTCTAGAACGAATGACAATATACTAGCCATATTTCTCCTCCTTAACAATGTTGAAACATTCATAAATGAAAGTACTGACCACGAAAATGATTTTCAAGAACCAACTAGTAAGATATGAAGTAAATTTTGGATTATTTTTATTTGCAAAAATCGAAGAACTCATAGACTTTCGACACATCGACCCTAAAGTTTTACTTTTATAGCTTCGTATGAGAAATATCAAAGTCTTAATAAAATGCGATGTAAAAATCTTTTGTGACATGAAAATGTCTTTGGACATGTACCAAAGAAATACTTGTAATGTTGCATTATCCACGAAATAATTTTATGTTCGAAAATTTAATTTGTTTGGAAAATATTTCTGTACACTTCAAGACTTCTATCATATATAAAAGTCAAGCAATATATGAACATCTGATGTAGCTACAAATCTTAACAGAATCCAGATATACAAGTTTAGACCCAATCTTGACAGAAAATTTTACTTTCAGTATTGACAAATTTTCATATACATTGTCTTTTAGTTTTCTAAAACTTCATTAGAACAAGTCAAAAAAAAAAAAAGAATTTTCATATATATTTTTTTTGCAGAGAACTTAGAGATGCATGTTGTCATTTATTCTCGAAATCAATATATTCATCTACTAAAATTTTGTTTACAAAACCATATTCAATAATCTTTAATCAAAGTTTATCGTGTTCTTTATTGTTATAATTATATGCAAAATCCCTGAAAATGTCACTTATTTTGTACAACAGCAACAACAACAACAAATAAAATCATCTGAACGACAGCTAGAAGTAAATAAAACAAAAAAAAATAATGATAATAATAAACTACTGATGAAGATTAATCATACATGTAATGACTAGATTTGAGAAGCAAAAAAAACAAACAAACAAACAAAGGGTTTAGTTATACATTTGGTATGAGAAAACTTGGTCCACGTTCAAAATTAATTAATGTTGATCCATTAGTTTCGTCTTGTTGTTGAATATCCGAATCAGAAAATATTGAACCTTCACTACTTGAATGATTCTGTTTAGGAATCGATTTTTCATGTTTATATTTATCAGTTGATGATGAAGAAACATTTTCATGATTATTATCATCCATTGAACTTATCCATGATGTTGTCATTGTTTCTAATATTGAAAAAAAACACAAATAAACTATTTATCTTGTTTTAGAAGTCAAAATATTGAATACTAACCGTCACCTAATGAATTAATCATCGTTAGATTCGATGGTTGAACTTGTGAAATGTAATCTGATGTATGTTTTACTCTTTAAAAATAATAATGAAATATTTCAATACAATGTCAGATAAATTCAAATAGCATTGATATACTATGAAATTAATTTAGATTTACATAGAGTAATCCAGTTCTTCTTCTCAAAAGTCATAATTTACGTGTATAAGAATTCTTTTATAATATTTATATATGATTAATGTAAAATCGATTACAATATATTTCAGATATGTGTTACAAATGTAAAAGAAATGAAAAAATGATGTCTAAATGTCATAAAAATTTTCGAAGATTATCTATGAAATTTTTATGAGCAAAATTCGTATTGATTTCTTATTATTAATTATAACACTAATGAAAATTGACTTACAATGGAGAACTGTTCATTGTTATTTGTTGTAAACTATCCATAGTTGTTTTATTTATATCATTTGTATTTAAAATTGAACTCTTTATAATTAGACTATTATTTTGATGATGATGAGATGCAGGAGATTGTATTGTTGGACGTATTGATGATGGTGTTTGAGGATGAGATTGAGATGTACAATGTATACAATGATATTGATTAAATGATGTACGAGATTGAGAATGATATTGTAATGTTGACGATGGATGATGATCAAGCCATGGTGGTTGATATTGTACTGTAGGTGATGCTGATGATGTTATCTGTTGTTGTGAATCGGATAATAGATGATGTGATGCTGGTGGTGAATGAACTGTTTTTGACTAGTAAAAGAAAAAATGTTAAAGTAAAAATAATCTATATTATGACTATTTGAAATAAAACAACTCAATTACAAACTAATAAAATTCTTGTATTTTCTGAAACTCACAGTCAATTTTTTTGAAGACAGTTTTTAGTTACGTTTCCATAGTAGTCTCGAACGGAAGACTCCCAAGGGAAATCCTTCAATTGTTCAACCGTTTTTGAATCGGGATTATGTTTAGGGTCTTTATAGCTCATTTGGATCTACATAATTTACATAGTTTCGACTCTATGGATAATTGAATCGTTGGAGAACATTCCTCGTTAGACTGTTTTTTAGCATTTCAAAGTCTTCCTCGAAATTTCAATGACCGAAATACGTTATTGATATTTGCGAAGATAAAAATGAGATTTTTTATAGAGATATAATGGACATGTCAAACAGATTTTATTTGCCAGTTAACTTAATAATTAGAATACTAAAATAAGAAAAACAGAATATACTTGGTCTGTACAATCTTATAAAGACTCATTCAATTGATATTCTCATGTTTTAAATGATTAATTATACACATTTAACTTACATAATTTGGTGAAACCGAGGATGTTGATTGTTGAAATATTCCTGTTGTTGCATATGGATTAAGTTGTTGTTGTTGTCGACATTCATGTAAAAGTGCATTAATTGGATTTTTATGTATACTCATTGAATAATGTTCACTGTTACTACTAGCTGATGCTGTTGTACAACATTGAAGACGAATACCATTTGGTATTGAATTCATCCATAAAGCTGTTGATGATGATGGTAATGGTGTTGAAGTATCTTTTATTAAATCATAACGTTTTCCATTACTTAATGTTTTATGAACAGGTAATTCAACAGATTGGTTTGATGATGATGATGCTGAACTATTAAATTTTATACGATGTCGATGTTGTTGAGTTATATAATGAAAACATAACCATATAACATAAGCACAAGCACATATAAATATAATGCTTGATAAAATAATTACTGGTAAAAACCTACGTATTTTTAAAGGATAGAAAGATTAAATAAAAGTAAAGAAAAACAAAAAAAAGACATAACGAACGAACCAAGGTTGAGATATAGCCTCACGTAAACGATATTTTAATTGATTTTGATTTATTTGTAAAAGTTTAGCATCTATAAAAATGAAAATATTTTACAACAAAAAAAATGAAAAATTTCATATTAAATAATAATTCTTACTCATTATTACACATATTGGTTGTGAATAAGGACCATAACCAATACGTGTACGTGCTGCAATACTTATACAATATTCCATATTTTCAATAAGATTTTTAATATATAATCCTTTTGCATCTGAACTTATATTTGTTAAACGTATGGAATTTGTTTCATTTGTACCTAAACAATTAACTTTATAAGCAATAATTTGACCATTAGTTTCATTTTCTAATGGTGAATTCCATCGAATAGAAAGTGTTGTTGTTGATATTAATTGAACAATAATATTTGTTGGTGATGATGATGGAATACTTTCTAATGTTCGAAATGATATTGTATTACTTGAACGACCTATTATATCAAACATAGGTACTAAATAAATTGAATAATCTGTATTTGGTTGAAGATTATTTATTGTATATGTTGTTATAGAATTTGTTATTGTTTCAATACGTTCATTTGTTTCTTTTTTATTAATTATATAAATAAAAATTTCATTAATTAAAGAATTTTTTTGTAAAATATTCCATTTAATTGTTATACTTGTTTCTTGAATATTAATTGGATCATATAAATAGATAAGTTCATCATCATTTAATTGTTGAGTAGTTTTTGTTTCAATTAAATCAGATAATATAGATGATGGACCATAACCAAATGAATTTCTTGCACGTATCATAAATTGATAAATTGAATCAGATTTTAAATTATTTATAATTTGTTGAGAATTTTTTGTTTTTGTTAAAATACGTTTCCATTCAAGATTATTCCTATCAGAATTAATATCATAATATTCTATAAGATAATCAAGAATATCTATTGATT